CGCCAGAGATGATCAGCGATCCCCGAGTGCGAGCAGAAGGCGAGAACAAGCCGTCGGTGCCAGCGACGATTGCAGCATCGGGTGATTCAATCAAGCGGGAGTGGGCTCACTACCATATGTGGGCCGGTGTCTTCGGACACGAGCTCGGACTCAACCCAGACCGTGACTGGGAAGAGAGCGTGAAACAGCTCTACACAGGCGCAATCGCGCAAACCGCTCTGTCTACGTGTCTGGGAGATGTTGATCATGGCTATAAGGCCCTCCCTAAGGTGGCACGGATCAACGACGAGGGGTTGTCGCGTTTCCAGCCCGGCGATAGCCGAGGCCGCGAAAAAGCCTGCATCATTGTTTCCCGATTCTACCCTCATTTTCAAGGCTGGGGCGAGAACATTCGTTGAGATGGCGGACGACTTTAAAGCTCTGACGGGGCCTGGTCATATCCTTCAGCAATACACGAATGTCCGACAAAAGGCGATTTGGGGAGGCAACCTCCATTCGATCGTTGAAGCAGTTCACACGCTCTTGCCGCAGATCATCAACGAATCGTTAAACCCCTTGCATCTCGAGGTCGATGTCGTTGTGATTTGGATGGGCAACGAACTTTGCGGTCGCAGAGGAGTCTTCGTCGACCCAGGGACGCCACACTGGCAGATTGGTCCTGAAGGCGTTGCCGCAGAAGGGATCTGGGCGGACATTGCCGCACGTGTGTGCGGTGAAATTGGCCGTCTAGCCGCCCTTCAGGGCAGGCCAACGGTGGGCTCAGTGCAAATCCTCTCGGATGCCGACCCACTGGACTACGGGCTGCCAGCAGAATACCGCACAGCTATCCGAAAATTCCTCGGATACGCAAGGAGTAGGGGGTTATACACCGCTTCTCTCAAAGAATGCGTATGCCAGATCCCGAAGCACGACCACTACCACTTCCGCGAAGACTCCACACATCGCGCAGCCTTGGCCTCTGTGATCGGACAGCGGATTAAGGTGTGTCAAGCTGACCACTTGTTAAGGCAGGCCGAGATTCGCGAAGCTGCGAACGAATGCCCTGATCCATGGGAATCCCCTTATGTTCCTCCACCTGATCTTCCAGTCACTGGAATGCGTGAGGTCCCTCAGGATGTCCTGAATTGGGAATGGGCCACAGCTCGCGAACAGGCGCAAAAGCGCACGAACGAGCAGGCGGAAGCACGTGCCCGTGCTGAGCGGACGGATCCAGCCCCACTTAGTGGTGGCCCATCTGGCAGTGCATCATCTCGCGACGTACCGGAGGTGTCCTTTGACGATGTCATCGAGGCCATTCCTTATCGCACCAGAGTCTCACCGTACTCTGTCAGCGGCAAAAGAGGGCATGACCAAGAAGGACCGGGACCCTTCCAGCGGCTTACTAAGAGCTCGCCCACACCACGACTACATTGGGGTAAAGTACCAAGACGACTTGGACCTGATGGAAATGTGTGGCTTCGTCGACGAGGATGTGTGCCCAGAGGATCCGGAGGGGAGCGAGATCGTTCAGATCCTCCCCGACTCGATCCCGAAGGATCACCTCCCTGAGATGGGCCTCAAACCTTATGTTGAGCGCTACCTCACAGGTGCTGTCCGAGGGTCGAACGTGAAGCTCAGCTCACGGCGCGGGAAATGGATACGCATCCAAGAACTCATTCAGCATATGTGGAAGAGGCACCGTGTGGATCTGGGAACACGAGGTATCTTGTCCTTAGTCGCCTACGACAACAAGTCGAGGTTCAACTTGGCAGGCCTCCCCACCGATCCACGTGCTGACTTCATTGAGACGGACATTTGGCCATCTTGGATTTGTGCTTCGCATGGTCACAGCGAACGCATCAAGGACCAAGTGACCGATGCCTCCATTGCGCTGCATTGGTTCACGAATGATACGCGAGAGGAGCTTGGACCTTCAGCCGCCTATCAAGGCAGGCCATTCCTAGCTCTCGGGGAGTTTCCCCCGCGTCTCTACCACAGGACGACGCACGACGCTGCCTTCAGCATTCTCAGTTCCGGCTTTACGCCAGGGTTCAACAGGAGCGGCAAATTCCACAATTACGATTTTCGTCCCGGAGCGAAGCGTAGGGATAAATCTTTATTTCCTTTGAACATTCAACGGTTTTTCTCTGAAAACCGAGTGCACCAGTTTTCCAACTTTGTTTCCTTTGAGTCTTGCGAATACCTTGTCGTATCCGCATTTCTTCTCAAGGGAAGGGTGGGGGGGAAGTCCATTTCCTTCGGCATGAAGTGAATCAACTTTGTGCTGGGGGGGTGGCGTAGTGCGTGCCGGTGGGTAGTTCTTAGGGGAGGGTAAACCCGTCCTGTGACGGGTGCCATGGATCAGCCTGGCTCTCTTGAGGACTTAGAAACTGCCGGTAGTGCCTTCAGGCTTCTTTCAGAGGCCCCAGACGCGAGTGTGTGTTCTGTCGATGCAGAGCAAACTTTGCAAGATGATCTCGTCTCCTGGAACCCGAATCCTGAATTTTCAAGCGACAGGCAGTGCATCAGCTCACATCGGGAGCCATCCGAGCTTGCAGTAGAGTCAGAGCTTGCTGATGCTTTCTTTGAAGGTGGTATCGGCTTGAGTTCTGAATCGGAGCCCGTGCTTCCTGCGGTACTCGGAGGCATCGAGCATAACCCGCAAGGTTATAGGAACCTTTTGCGCTCGTCGCACCTTGGCCTTCGTGATGAGCTTCCGAAGTTTCCTTGGGATGAAGGATTCTGGAGCGACTTCTTCAAGCCCGTTATGACGACTGACGACCTCTTGTCTTTTCCCAGGTTTGATAGGTTAAGCCCTCCGGTGGAGTTCCTGCAAGAGGCTTTAGAAGCGGATGAGCTGCCTGGGCCCAAACGCGCTCGCAAAGCTGTTACCGTCACATTCGAGCGAGTTGTGTTGAATCGTGCTGTGATCTCCTGGAGAGATCAGCGAGAAGCCGACTTGAGCAGAGCGCTTATCAAGTGGTGTAGAGTTTTTGCAAGCTGGGACACTGAATCTTCCCCTTTCACCCGTCAGCTTCAGGAAGCCGCATCGCCTGAGGCCTGTCATGACCTCCTGGGAGATTATTTGGCCCGCAAAGCTCCCAGTACATGTCTCAAGCGCGCAAATAGCATGTTGATGTTGGGCAAGTCTGTAGCTTCCGAAGGCTTAACAATGCCCATGCAGGAGCCTTCTCTTTACTCGATTTTGAGAGATTGCAAAACCGGTGGTGCATCCTTGTCAGCTTTGCGAGGCATCATGGAGGCGATCACTTTCGTGCACTTTACATTTGACATTTCGACTTTGCATGCCAGTGTCAATAGCAAGAGGTGTTGGGGCCTGTCCTCAGCCAAGCAAGCCACTCTTGCCTCTAAGGCAGACCCTTTCACAGTTGAAGAAATACTTGAGATGCATCGAATCCTTTACGAAGGGGATGATCTCTGGGATCGTCTCATGTGTGGAGTGTCCCTCTACTGCATCTACGCCAGGTGTCGATGGAGCGACTTCCAACATGTTGACTCGCTCTCTCTGGAGTGCAACGACCAGGGCTTTGCAGAGTTCGGCTCAGCTTTCATCGATGTGCATAAGACAATGAACTTCTCCTCAAAACTTCCGAAGTGTCTCGAGCTAGTTGCGGTAGGCCGTGGCCTCGATGGCAAAGATTGGCTCTGTGTGTTCATGGAGGTTCGAAAGGCTTTAGGCGTCGAGTACAACAAAGGGTACCCAAGCATGCCCGCCCCCGACAAATCTGGCGCCCCGACGGTCAGGGCTTTGGGATCTGACGAAGCAGGTGCGTGGCTCCGAGAGCTATTGCCTGGGCGTGAAGGCCGGCGCACCACCTCCCACAGCTTGAAAGCCACTCTTTTGTCTTTTGCAGCTAAGAGAGGGTTAGCTCACACTGACCGGCTGGCCTTAGGCGGGCATTTCCATGGGGCTCACATGGCTGATGTATATGCGCGGGATGCCTTAGCACGCCCATTGCGACTTCTGGCGGGCATGCTGTCTGAAATCAGGCTAGGAAAGTTTGCACCAGATGCTGGCAGGGCTGCTCGTTTTCCTGGGCGCACCAATGAGGAATTGATAGGGGCCGAGCTGCCCACAGGTGCCCATGCTGCTCCCACTGAGCCTCCGCCGCTAGGTGATGTCCATCTTGGCAGCAGCAATCGCGATTGCAGCGCTAGGGGTCTTGAAAGCTTCTCTCAGTGGGATCTTGTCTCCTTGGGGGCACCGTCACATGCATCGAGGGCTGAGAAGTCGGAGGCGTGCACTTCCCATGCGGGAGGTGAAGTCATGAGTGTCAAATCGGACGGAACAGAACCTCCGAGTCCCGATTTTTCCGAGGGTGTTGGCGACCTGAGCTTCAAGCTTGATCGAGAGCCGCAGGGATCCTTTGAGATAGTTCCGGAAGACATCTCCGAAGTCAATCCCGATGACGGTGTCTCCTCTGACGGAGACACGTCGTCGGAAGGCTCCTCATCCGAGTCGTCTGATTCTTCTGAGGGAGAACATCCGGAGCCCAGGCTGATGCTCCCGCCTTCGCCTCCTGAAGGTACCTTCTTCATGCAGCATCGCAAGCTCAAAACTCTGCATTTGTTGTTGGCCGGGCACCGCAGCTTCACACTGTGCGGAAGACCGTTGCAAACTGGCGACAGCCCCTTCATCGAGCCTGGCCGGCTGAGGTATGATACCCCAGTGTGCAAGCAGTGCAAGAGATCCCTAGCTAACCCTGGGCGCGACTGAGTTTTGCTGAGAGAGTGGAAAGAGTGAGTGAGTGCGTGTCATGGTAGGGGTTTCATGTCGAGTCGTGAGCCAAAATTATCAGGACAGGCAGCAGCCCCTCGATGTGCCGCAACTCGTCCCTTCTGCTCACTTCTTCCCTCTCTCTCTTCTCCCTCTCTCTCTGTTCTTGATCCTTCTCTCTCAACATGTGAGTTTGCTTGATGGATCACAAGCTGAGAGTTGGGTTGCAGCAGCTTTGTCTCAGTTCAGTAGGACGGACGGGCCCATAGTGCTGTGAGTTGCCATGACCCTCGTTGACAGCGAGGCTGCTTTTGCAGCTAGGTGTAAGGAGATATGTGGCGACGATTCCCTTCACACATTGCTGCAAGCCTCGGGGGTGCGAACTCACTCAGCCTTGGCCTTCAGTTGTGGAACTCCGAAGGCCCAACCCACGGAAGCAGAATTTAAGGCCTTTGCTGATTCCGTTGTCGGGAGCCCAGCGTCCATAGGCCGCGTGAGCCAGCTCAAAAGACTCCATTTCGAATCCTCAACTTTGGTCATTGCCCAGTTGCGCGCACTCGTAGAAGGGGATTCAACAGAATCTGGAAAGAGACTTCCGGCAGCGGAGAAATCCGCCCGACTTGCGGATGCCAAGAAGCGTTTGAAAGGCCTTGTCATCGAGGATGAGATGGAGCCAAGTCATGCCCTCATTGACGCAGTTTCCCACATGGGCGAGTCGAATGCGGTGGTTTGGATCCCACCGTCGAAGTGCACTAAGAGGGATGCCGAACTCAAGCTAGGGCTTCGCGACAAGCAAAAGTACTTGACTGTTCAGGAGCAATCAGTCACCTTGGCCCCGGCTCCAGATAAGATCGTCGCTGAGCATGGGACTCCCTTGGAGGTCCAATGGTGTCTCCAGCGTCGAGGCTTGGCTTTCTTCATGTGCGGCTTCATGGAGTGGGAGACTCACGAGAAGTGGGTCGCGTCTCTGCTGAGATGTTTGTCCTCGGATGTTCCTCCGGGATACGCACCCATTTCGATGCAGCAAATTTTGCGTGCAGATTCCGAAATCTTCTTGCTTTTAGCCCGTGAGGTCAAGCGTGTCAAACCTGACAGCAGTGGTGTGATGGAGATGGATGTTCTCATGAATCGGTTCCGTCATGACCCTCGGATCACCACCTATCTCCAGCCTCTTCAGCGTGGATCAGCCTCTCAGGGAGTCGCTTCGCCGAGTCTCGCAGGTGAGGTCGGATCATCCTTTCCTGATCTGAGGCCCAGCAAACGCCAAAAGAAGAGAGATGCTAAGCTCAAGGCCCCTATCAAAACTGCAAATCTGCCTGAGGAGTTGAAGTCATGCCCGTACCATGCTGATTCTTCAGGCCACCGGTTCTGTTGGCAGTTCAATCTCGGTAAGTGCAATGCCGAGTGCAAGGGCAGTCCGCCTGCTTGCAGCCGTGGTGTTCACGGTTGCATGACGTGCAGGCGCTTAGGCCATGGGCATTCTGCTTGCTGGTTTGCCCACGCAGGCAAAGGCAAATTGCAGCACCCTCCGGGGCTCGTGCTGCCGTGTCAGCCGATGCAACGACTCCGAAACCCGTGGCCCGTGCCGCCACAGTGTGGTGCCACCCTGGCACACATCCCGGCAAAAGCTCAGCTGCTCCGGCACGTGCCAATAGTGCAAGCTGGGGGTAAAGAACTGGTGAAAGTTGATTCTTGGGAGATGGCTTGGGGGTTACCCTGGGAGCCTGAGGAGTTCATGCAGAAGGCGTCCGAATCATGTCACCCAAGGTCGATGGGCTCGGTGCTCCCGGCCCCCTTGAATGATACTCTTGAATCCTTGGATAAGTTGGGAGACGCCGAAGTTTCCGCTTTGAGGGCTAGGGTAATCAAGGAGTGGTTGCACTTGGCGACTTCGTTGTCCTCCAATGAGGCGGAGCTGAAGGCCAGCATGCACCCCGATGTCCGTGAGATTACAGCATCCAAACGCATCCTCTTGTGGGAAGCTTTGCTTAAGAAATACGATTACCCAGACCAGTGTGTGTCGAGCCTTCTCAAGGAAGGCGTCCCGTTGGTGGGGCATGCGCCCATTTCGGGAGTCTTTAAACCAAAGTTCAAGCCCATGCAAGCCACGCCGAAGCAAGTTAGGGAGGATTCAAAAGTTTTTCGGGAAAAGGTTAAAAATTCCCTTAAGCCCCAGGACCCCGCCTTAGCAGCAGAAGTTTGCTCCAAGACCGATAAGGAGCGCGAAGCAGGTTGGATCGTTGGTCCCTTGTGCGAGTCCAGCTTGTGTGATGGGATCTTGGTTAGCCGTCGGTTCGGAATCCAGCAAGGCCAGAAGGTAAGGTGCATCGACAATTTGACTTCTTCGGGGGTGAACCTTGCGGTGCAGGCCTATGAGGCTCCGCAGCCTCAGTCTACAGACGTGGTTGCATCCACCTGTCTTCGACTGCTGAAATCCATCAAAAAGAGAGCAGGCAAGGTCTTGTTCAAAATCTTGGGCAAGGCGTTTGATCTCACTGCAGCTTACCGGCAGATGCCAGTCCACCCAGACACAGCCTGGGCAGCGTACGTTTGCTTCGTGCATCCAGACACGAACGAGCGAGTGTACTTTCGGATGAAGGCCATGCCATTTGGATCGGCAATGGCAGTCTACGCTTTCCTTAGGATTAGTCATTCCTTGTGGTTTCTCGGTGCAAAGGCATTGCTTTTGCCTTGGTCGTCGTTTTTCGATGACTTTGTCACTTTTGCGACGACGGGGTGCTCTGCGTCGGCAGAGGCGGCAGTAACGTCAATGTTCAAACTCCTAGGTTGGGCGTTCGCCGAGTCCGGCGAAAAGGCAAATGACTTTTCCGAGTGCTTCCAGGCGCTTGGAATCATGGTGGACCTTCGTGCATGCCTTGATGGCACCATAAGCTTCAAGAACACTGCAAAGCGGGTCTCCGAGATCAGGGCGTTCGTGGGCAAGGTGCTTGAGTCAGGTAGGTTGCCACATCACGAGGCTCTAAGGCTCAGGGGTAGGTGCCAGTTCGCCGATTCGCAAATCTCCGGTCGTACTGGGAAGAAGTGCTTGGGCCTGATCACTGCTCATGCTTACGGCTTTGACGATGTAATCAGTCGCGAACTCAGGGCATCGCTCGAGAAGTTCCTGCTCAGGCTCGAGGTCGGGGCCCCGCGCTTGATCAAGATCCTTGAGGGCGGATCATGGCATGTGTACACAGATGCTTCGTATGAGCCAGGGGCAGGGCATAGTTTCTGCGGCCTAGGAGGGGTGCTGGTTGATCCTACTGGTGTTCCACGAAAATTCTTTTCACTTGTTTTGAGCGATGCACAGAAAAACTTTCTTGGCGAGCAGAATTCTGCACAGATCATCTTCCAGGCTGAAATGCTAGCAATGGCAGTGGCACTGGACGTATGGTTGCAGGACTTGATGGGGCACACGGCAATCTTCTTTGTGGACAATAACGGTGTGCGTGACGCAGCTATCTCTGCGAATGCCAGAGCTTCAGTCGCGAGACGGTTGTTGGAGGCGTTTCTGCAGAAGGAACATAACTCCTCAATCATTCCGTGGTTCGCAAGGGTACCATCCCCATCGAACCCTGCAGACGAACCTTCAAGGGTTGAGCTTGACAGCTTGAGCTTGCTGGGGGTTCAACTCCTTCGTTCGAATGTGACTCAAAGAGTCGACTCTTGCTTGAAGGATGTTCAGGGACTTAGGTAATAGGATTAAGTTGGGGGTGAATGCTAGCAGGGCCCCTCGCTGAGGGCTGCAACTCCCTGCGGACATTTAGGCTTAGCAAAATGCCAAAATGGGCATACGAACTTGGTGCCGACCGGCACTCCAGCAGTTGTTATCCCCAACGTCGCCGATGGAAAAAATACAGTCGTCTGTGCGAGCATCGTGTGCCACTTCAGTCTTGCTGTGCAACTTAGGCGAAGTTCTTTGTGCGAAACCTTTCCAACTCAGTGCAACTTTTACTCAGGAAACTTTTTTGGTAAGTGCAGCTGTTTGGTCCAAGTCGTTCGGCTCAAGAGAAAGGCAAGGGAAAGGGCGACAAGAGTGATTCGTCTTCCCCAAAGGAGTGACTAGCTCCTACCAGTGTTGCACCCTCTTCAGAGGGGCCCAGGCTGCGATCTCGCAGCCCTAATCCTGCATGTGAATTCCGTGTGTCAGGGCAACACCCCAAGCCTGTCGGCCAAGATGAGGCCGAACGTGTCACCAAACCTTTCATAAATGTTCACGATGATTCCGAACGCGACTCTGTGCTTTCTCCTCCTGAAGCTGATGTCAACGCGGCATGTTCCGCGTTCAATTTCAGCTTCGCTGCGGTCATGGGGAGCCCATCCAGTGTCCCAGGTGACCCTTGTGAGTCACTTGCGTCAAAAATTCTTGAGCATGGCAATTGCTCATCTGAGCAGCTGCTTGAACTCTCGAACATGCTACCAAGCGAGACTCCAACTCGAAGTGATGGAGCCGCCCCGTCAGGACGTGCCTTCACGACTGGAGCATATTACCACTGTGGCACTGTAGGTGTCAGGCATAATGCGCGAGCTTACCCACTGGCCTCGCGTCTCCTTGCCACTCTCGCAGCCAGTGTATTCTCGAATTTTCACTTCACAAGTGTCGGCCTTTTCAAAGATGTAAAAACTCGCAGGCACCGTGACCTCAGGAATCTTCCTGGATCCTTGAATGGCGTTGCACCTCTTCGCCCATTCTGCGGTGGTGCAGTGAGGGTGCATCACCCTAGTGGTCCTGAGGACTTGCTGGTTTCAGCAGGGCCCGTCACATTTGATGCGACGGTTGAGCACGAAACTTTAGACTGGACCAACGGTCCCCGTCTTGTACTTGTGGCTTTCAGTGTGTATGGAATTTCCAAAATTCCAATTTCAGATGAGAGCTGTTTGAGGTCCCTGGGTTTTGTGCTCCCAGGTGTTACCGAGGCACCTGCCTCGGTTCCAGCACTCAGCCATACGACCACAGCTGCCTCTGATGCTATCTCTGGAGTCATTATAGATGTATTCGCTGGCGATGCCGCCTTTTGCAAAGCCGCGCACAAAGCCGGCTTTAGAGCCCTAGCCTTCGACCTTACTCGACATAACGCAGGCCGACGAACTTGCGGTGCTCCTGGAGGTGATTTCCGAGCACGCCGGTGCTACGTCATTGGTGCAGTTCACTGTCCCGTGCTTGAGTACTTTCTTCACGTCAAAGACTGGATCATGGAGTTTCGCCGAGTTGCTGGTGGATGCTGTCTTCCAGCTTTGCTCGCATTGCAGGGCTGTGGGAGTTCCTTTTGCGATTCTGCACCCTGCTACGTCGCGCTTCTGGCACATGCCGTCTTGCCAACACTTCTTCCAAGCTGCCGACGGTGAATGGACTACATTTGACCAATGCATGCATGGAGGGGCCCAGGATCGCCGCGCTTTCTGGTGGGCCTCAACTGCTTGGTTGCGCCCTTTACAGGCAACATGCTCCAAGGACCACAAGCATTATAGTCAAGCTGCTTCGGCCCCGCAGTGGCCTCATTTGCTTTGGGATCGTGCTGTAGAGCTACTGTGCCAGCACTCAGGTTTCACGCCAAATACATCATCTTTGTTTGGTCCTCCGGGTCGTGACCTACGGCCTGCTATGGGCAAGCAATCTCGTAAAGCCCGGCCATTGGTCAGCGAATTCTGCAAATATGATGCTTGGGCCGTGCCTCTTCGTGCCGAGCAACCTGTGCTCCAGCTCCTGAGATGCTACCCTAAAGGAGCCCGCGCAGTAAGACGCAAACTTGTTGATCCGGGGTTGGTTCGGGTTTGCGTTTTACCTTCTGTTGACTTGTGCAAGGTCGATGATGTCTTGTCGAGCCCCTGGACATGGGCCACTAAGCATTGCAAGCACGATGCGCACACACCAACCAAGGATTTCTCCGATGTCTGCGGCTTATTGCCTCCGACAGAGCATTCTCCAGTGCTTGAAGTTGTATGGATTGGCATTCCCCGTGAACCGGATGACTTTTTACGTCGAGCTGTGGCAGCCGGTCACCCAAAATCCCTCCTAGATGTCGAAGCCGATCCGCACATGACCTTGCTGATAGACAACCTTCTGAACAGTAATGTCAAACAGCCAGACAAAGGTTTGCATGAAGTTCGGCGATGGACCGAGCTACGGTCGAACCTCTCCGAATCCCAGGAGGTGTGCAAAAAGGAGTGGCCCATTCATGTGGCGCAGGTTCTGGATGAAAAGCCAACTCTGTTGATGGACGAATTGCTCACCCAGCACGACTTTCCAGATCGCCACCTTGTGAAGCACATGACGCAGGGGTTTAGGCTTACGGGCTGGGTTTGTAGATCGGGTCTTTTTCCCTTTGACCCTAAGCCTCCCGCCTCCACCTTACAAAGTCAGCTCTCTATGGCCAAGTCCAGAAACACCGCCACCTTGACGAAGCTCTCCAAGCAGGCTCCTGATGAGGTGTCTCGTCGTGCCTGGGCTGAAACGCTTGAAGAAGTTGACAAAGGTTGGATTGAGGAAGACGAAAACCCAGATCTTTCTACGGTCCTCGTTGCCAAGCGGTTTGGGCTTTTACAAGGTCCAAAGGTCAGGGTCATAGACGACTGTCGTGCTTGTGCTTACAACTTGTTAGCAGGCATCCCTGAGAAATACAGATTACAGAGCGTCGAATACATCGCTGCCTTCCTCTTGCGAGCCATGCTTGACCCTCGCAGCAAAGGCGTTAGCATCTCAGGGAAGACACTTGATTTGACTGCGGCGTACAAACAGTACGCCACACATCCCTTCGATCGTGACCTTTTACGGATTGGCGTCAAAGACACTTCAAGCGGACACGTTCGCACTTTCAAAGTGAATTCCTTGCCTTTCGGAGCTACGGGTAGTGTGTCAAGCTTTCTCCGATGTGCAGCTGCGATCTGGTTCTTGGGATCCCATGCATTGGGAATCCCATGGACCAACTACTTTGACGATTTCCCGATCTTCTCCAAAGATTCCGACTGCGGCCTAGTGGAAGAAGTAGCCACCAGTTTTCTTGACCTTTTGCACGTGTACTTTGCACGTGCTGGCAAGAAAGCCACTGTGTTTACAAAGGCTTTCAAAGCGCTCGGCCTTATCATCGATTTGAGCCATTTCGGCGAAGGATATGTGACCATCGGTCATACTCAAGAACGTGGGGATGAGCTGCGTGCGACAATCACCCGCATTCTTGAGTCCAACCGCCTTTCGCACGCTGAAGCCGAAAGCTTGCGAGGCAGGCTCCACTGGTACACTTCCTTTCTTTTTGGACGCAGATCTTCTCAAGCTTTGAACGTCCTGAGCGACTGGGTAAATCGAAGTGCATCAAAAGGCGCGCTGCCTACGGAACTCCGAGAGTCCCTCACGTTCCTCAGGGACGTAGCTCTCCATTCTGAGCCGCTAAAAATTTCGAGGAGTTTGCAGCGAACTTTCTTGATTTTTACTGACGGCAGCCTGGAGGGAAACTTTGCTTGTGTGGGAGGTATTCTACACGATAGCCAAGGCGTGCCCCTAGCCTTTTTCTCGGTCAAGCTGAACCAAGCCTCTACTGAGAGACTCCACAATCACTCTTCGCATCCCATATATGAGATTGAGCTGCTAGCAGTGTGGACAGCACTCACCCTTTGGGAGAGGCATATCCATGACAGCTACTCTGTCTTTTACTTAGACAACGAAGCAGCTCGTGGAGCTTTGACGTCAGCCAGATCTTCTACTTTGACAGGTATGAAAATCGTCGAGTCTTTTCTGAGGCTGGAAGATCGGTCGTTATGCAGGCCGTGGTTTGGTCGTGTGCCAACCCACTCAAATTGCGCAGACGATCCGAGTCGTGACTCCTTCCAGCATCTCATAAGGCAAGGGGTCCGCAGAGACTCTCTGCTTTGCGATTGGCCCTTTTGAGCTGCTGCTCTCTGGGGCTCCTTGGGGGCAGCTCGTTATGCCAAACGGCATTCAGCATGGTTGCTCTCGAACGACGTTACCCCTTTGCCCTTTTTGAGTAAAACGAAGAGTCCGACTCGGTTAGCGCAAGTTTACGGGCTCCGCCCTTTACGCTCGGGTGTTCCCCGCCTTAGTGCACGTTTGAGGAAAGAAATAAGATTTTCGTCCCGGAGCGAAGCGTAGGGATAAATCTTTATTTCCTTTGAACATTCAACGGTTTTTCTCTGAAAACCGAGTGCACCAGTTTTCCAACTTTGTTTCCTTTGAGTCTTGCGAATACCTTGTCGTATCCGCATTTCTTCTCAAGGGAAGGGTGGGAGGGAAGTCCATTTCCTTCGGCATGAAGTGAATCAACTTTGTCCCGCCCGCCCTCACCTTTTTATTCAACCATTGCTGAGCCACTCCCTTGGCCCTCCTTGGGGGCAGCTCGTTATGCCAAACGGCATTCAGCATGGTTGCTCTCGAACGTTGGGGGCAGCTCGTTATGCCAAACGGCATTCAGCATGGTTGCTCTCGAACGACGTTACCCCTTTGCCCTTTTTGAGTAAAACGAAGAGTCCGACTCGGTTAGCGCAAGTTTACGGGCTCCGCCCTTTACGCTCGGGTGTTCCCCGCCTTAGTGCACGTTTGAGGAAAGAAATAATTCGCCAAAGCTACCCTGAGTGAACTGGAGAACAAAGCAGGCAGTCGCGCGAACCTGCCCTACGAGATTGTGCTCGATACTCAGGAGGTCAATCGCCACGCATACCTCTTCGAGACGACCTCTGAGGGCATCCTTACTCGCGATGCGGTGCCGGGTACATGTGTGTTATACATCCGCGACACCATCAAGGGCATCATCCTGTGGTCCCGCCAGTCCAGCGAAGAGGAGGATACCATCATACCGGAAACTGCTCAGGACCCCATCGTCGATCCTGGAGCAGCTGAGCCGGAGCAGTTCCCCGATGTTCCGGAGGAACCTTCAGCCCCACTTAGTGGTGGCCATGAAGAAGAAGAAACAGCAGCGTCTGCACCCGCAGACGAACCCATGGTTGAGGAGGGACCGTCAGCATCTTTGGAACCCCTCGCTCTCAATGACGCCACGGCCTCTGATTTCCTTCCCGAGGAAACGGCGACATTGGATCAAGGGGGAGCATCACCACCAGATGTGCAACCTGAGTCCAGAAAGCGTGTTCGTTTCCTTGAGCCGGAAGAACCCGTCGAGGTCGAGATCGAGATCGAGCCGGACGAAGGCGATGTGAAAAAGGAGGAAGAAGTCAAGGTTGAGCCGATGTACGAGCAAGCGCCTCCGCAGCCTACATCCACGCCTTTGGCACTCCCTCCAGCCCCCGTTACGGGTGGCCGCCACAGAGCTTGCCCCCATTGTGGGACGCAACATCTTGTGGGACAGATGATCTGTCTCAGCTGTGGCGTGCACATTGTGAAACCTTCGCAACAGAGCGCCCGCAAAAAGGTGCGAACGGCCCGATGGTTCGCCGAACAAGCTGCAGCGGCCACGGCTGGTAAACCGCGATCCCAACTCACTCCTGAGGAGGTCATCCACGAGATGACGAGGGATGCTACCACGCAACGCGGGACTACCTCCTTGGACGCAGAAGCACTTGACAAGGCGCGGCAACAGCTGAAAATGGCGGTGAAAGGAGGATACACCAGCATCGTCCACCGGTTCGATAATGATGTCGATTACACCATGAACTCCATCGGCAATGGATTCGACCGGGAATTTCTCGCCATCGAGGATGTCCTCACTCATGCTGGTTTGCCAAACCACGGACGTTCCAAGGAGCAGAGGCAGCTCGCTATCGGCACCTATGGCGGCGCAGACGGCCCTCGGAACCAGGAAATCGCAAGGTTGCTCTACTTGCACGAGTGCAATCCAGCCGCCCTTAGGGCAGGCCTGATCTCCGCTGTCAGTGACGATCCTTTCTGCATCATGTGGCTTGGAGGGGCATACAGTCTGCGTAAGTTCGTAGATGTTTTCCTTCAGCACAAAATTGTGCGAATGATCGTGACCTTCTCAGAGGAAGCACTCTACATTGACCCACGTCTCGGATATTCCGCTGACGAATGGGTCGAGTGGCTTCAGCAGAAGTTTGCGGATCAGGTAGGAGTTGCACGTCGTGCATATGAAGAGCGCCAACGCAATGCTGAACGCTCTCGCATTGCACAGGCTAAGGCTGATGCACGCAGAGCCGAGCAACAGCGATACCAACAGGATTGGGACCAAGGCTATCAGCGCGGGTCCCACCCCTACGGTCGCTCCTCCGGTTCCCGAGGATGGTACTAAGTACCTGATCGACATTTCGTGGTTCCGTCACGTTAACCGGTACTCCGAAATACAGCCCCTCTTAGAGGTGGCCGAATTTCCATAAGACCAGAAAAATTTCATGCTTCATTTCCTGGCAGTCACTCTGTGGCAAATCCGAACAGTCAGCAGCTCCAGTGGATGATGTATTCGTCCCACGCTGCACACGTTCTTGCGACTTGTATCCACGCTATCATTCAAGGCTTGCTGGATCGTCGCCACTTTATAATGCATGTCGCGACTTTAAACTGCGCGCTAAAAGAATTAATCTGCTTCCGTATCTTCCGCTTTACGGTAGTAGAAACTCTATGAGCCCCAAGCCACAATCCAGCCGCCTTGATGGCAGGCCACACAGCACCAAGCTTCCGTGCATGTTTGCGCCTCAGACTGACGCTTCGGCGAGGGGGGTGTAATTTGTGCACGTGTGAAGTATCATGTTGTGTGTACGGCATTGTGGCACAAGTGCTCTGAGGGAAAAAGAGTAGATGCCCAATGGTATAACTGCGTTATTCCTCAACACTTGGACGGGTGTACAACAGTGCGTGTGTGCAGTGGTTTACAACAACTATAAGGGCTACAGTAGGCTACAAACCGAGACTCGGAGTGTAGTTTTGCCTTTGAGGGTTCGACTGCCATGGATACACATTGTCTACAGAGTAATGATGACTCGCTGGCAATCTGGGTGCGTACCGTGGATTGTAAGCTGCGGCTTCTTCACGTGACGGCATCCTCCACAGTGTTCGACTTGCGCAGCATTCTCAGTGATTTCCATTCCAGAATAGCAACCTTCAGATTCGATTTGGACGACCAAACATTGCTAAGAGATCAGTGCATTGACGGAGTCGCTCACCTCATGTGTTTGGGACGCTTGAGAGGTGGGGCATCTTTGCGGGCTCCATGGGAAACCACATCCAGCAAGGACGGGTTAATTATCACCGATTTCTCGGAAGTCGCCTTGGAGTCCTTCGAATCACATGACCTGCGACAGCTGCACATTGACTCTTTACACACGCATTCCACTGGACTGTGTTTGGCAACGCAGACATCATCGAAAAAGTTCTTGCAGTTTGAGACAGCTACACCCTGCGCACTTGTTGTGAAGGGACATGTGGAGGAATACATCAAGATGCTGGGCTTTGACAGCAAGCGTGTGTTCACTACGTCGCTCTCATTGAGAGACCCCGTTGCTTCCAGTGTTGAACCCAGGGCAGTTACCATAGTGAACCTTGCCCGGGAGGAATCAGAATGGTTCAACAAATTCGCCAGTGATGATGATTTCCAGGTCAATGCGGCCACAAAGATTATGGTCATGTTTGAGTTGCGCAAGTGCGATGCAGCCCAAGAGGATTGGGACGCTTTTGGTAACAAGACAGCCTTCATGAATTACACGGACGAAACGCTCACATCAGCATTGATCCGGCAGGAAGCAGTTGGGTATGAGCCCTTTGTTAAAGATGACTACTTGGTTCGCAAAGTGCTCATACCTGCATGTGCCCGTGATTCTTTGTACCGTCTGAGCGCGGCGAGGTCCATTCAGATCAAGGCGAAAAGAACGGTGACAGATGCACCTGAGCAAGGGTTGGAAGTCATTAAGATTCCCCAGACGCTTACTTTGGCAGAGGCTCGAGCTCAGTTCGCAAACATCTCCGGATATTTGGGCATCTTTTCCAACCAGAAGCAGTTGTTCATTCGTGTCGCGGACAATCACATCTCTGAAATGAGACAAGCGCTATATGCAGATGACCCACGGTTTACAGCATCGAATCTCGGAGTGAAGAGCCGATGGTTGTTCAAAGTTCTGGGTTTTCCAACCGGCGTCGCATGGGATACAGTGCACAAGTTCTTCGCATCCATCGAATGGAAAGCTATCCCTACCAAAGCTCTGCACTTGTCGGAGATGGCCATCATTTTCGCGACAGCTGCTTCCAATCCATCGGTGTGGAAGGCCCGTACTGATTATGGACCAGTTCACATCATGTTGTTGGAGCGCAACTTCTCCAAGAACAAGTTCTCAAATCCCCAAGACGGCGTACCTGATCCTGCTCAGCCAGTTTTGTCAAATGGGTCGGCTGTAGACACTCCTAACACACCGCGCGGTAGAGCTTTCACTTCGCAACGAACTGGCGGCTTGAAGCTACCTGTGCCCAAGATCCCAGCGTCGTTAGCACCTGACCAAGGGTTGGGAACTCGTGTGGCAGCCTTGGAGGCCCAGATGAAGCGAGTGCAAACGGATGTAGGAAGCTTGAATGATTCGCAAAGAGAAACCAGGCTTCAAATCCAACAGTTGACTGAGCAGCAATCCTCAGGTTTTCAGTCGCTGTTGGCAGCCATCCAGGACCTTAAGCAGAACCAGTCTTCGCCTGCCATTGTGCCTTCTTCCCCTCAAAGAAGAAGGATGGGAACTAAGGCTGACGATGATTTGTGACAGTAGTGTCGGGCGTGTTGCTAGGCTGCTAGGCAATGTTGCAAATGAACTCTCTTTTTTTGGCTGGTTTATCGCATTTTGCATTTACCAGCTCAGCAGTTTGGCTGAACACGTCAAGCTGAAAGCTAGATATTACCACGCATCTCGTGCTGGCAAACGTGGTTTGAGAGCTCATATTAAATATCATGCTACTTGTAGATCCATCAAGTTTGCCTCTCTTGCATTGCTGTTGTATTTTCAATCGTCCGCGTGGTGTGTCCCGCGCAGTGACGCAAACATCGTTGCAACAGCAGGCGTGGTCTGCAACGAATTCGGTGGCGAATATGATCGTACTTCTTTTTATGGCTTCTACTGTCGACCTTTCTTTATCGAAGGGGCTAGGCTCTTACATGTATTTCATTATCTGTGTTTTCCACATCGACGCTTCGACTGCACCTTGGGTTTCCCGGGCGAAGGACCTAGTTTTGGTGTCATCAACATCACCTCGTTAATGAAACATGCGAAAACGCTCGCCCATATTGACCAGTATTTGGGTGACCTTGGGAGTGTTTCCTTTGTATTCTGCCAAGAAACCCGTGTCAACCTTGCCAAAAGTGCATCTTTGAAAAACGTCCTTGCCAAGCAAGGGTGGGACGTTCTCTTAGGCCCTCAACCTGAAGTTCGTAGAGTAAACAGCGGACCTCAAACAGCTCGACAAGCATTTGGTGGTGTCGCGTGCCTGTACAGGTCTGGTTCTGTCCATAACATTTCCATTCCTAAGCAGTGGGACCGCCTTGCTGATAATTGTCAGTTTGTATGGTGTTGCTCCGATGCGAGTAATCAAGGGTTTTATGTCTTCAACATGTACTTGCCCACTGGGAAACACCATTGCTCTCTAAGAGCCCTGATTGTAGCTCAGGTTTTCGAGTTTCTCGCTGAGTATAGAAATCATCCTGTGTTTGTTGTAGGGGACTGGCAGGAAGAACCGCAGTGTAACAGCAGTGTGCATGCAGCCTTTCTAACCACGGATTGGCATGATGTGTACTTGGATCGACAAGCTGCTCTCGAGGGCACAATTCAAGCAACGTTTTCGAGGGTAGGATGGGGGTCGACTGCGATAGGAAAAGGGCGCACGCGAATTGATGCAGTTATTGTGAATTCCATTGGGTCCGAGACCCTTTCAAGTATTCAAAACTGTTATTGCTGCCCTTTCCCAGGTCATGCTTTTATTCATGTGGGGTTGAATCTCCCGATTCTAGAAGAGAAGGTTACTGTCTTAAAGCCTCATCCACAATGGACCCTTCCACCTAAACCTAGGGATCAAGAGGAATGGGATGCTCGTGAAATGCCTTGCATTCCTATCCTCCTTAAATATGCAGATGAACTTGCTGAGCTCGCCCGGGTAGGTGACGCAGATGCCCTCTGGCAACTTGTTTCTAAAGTCTTAACTGAAATGCTCAATGCCATTTGTGGGTCCTCCCTTCCTTGTACCAGAGGTAACCTGCCCAAGTTCGAACAAGTTTGTAGGACTAAAAAGATCACACCTTCCATGACACCAAGCGGTCAGATTCACAAAGCGCTAGCGCTCTCTAGAGAACTTTTGCGTAAAGCTGAGGCCTTTCGTATGCGTCAAAACACCAATCGTGATACTTCCAGTTCATGGCTTGCACAAGCTGCTTGTGTAGAAAACAAACTGCGTAGGACCCTTTTAGCTTTGAGATGGTCTACCCATGTTCCCCACGTTTCAGATGCAAATGCGGTTCATGCCTTGCAGTCCTTGTGCTCATCACTTGAACAACAGATTGATGTAGACGACAAGCTTGAACGAAACAACACGTTGAACAAATGGAAACGTAAACTACGCGATTCCAGCCGAGCCAACTCATCCGAAGTGCACAGGTGGCTAAAGAACAAACAGTTGAGATCCCCAACTTTGTTTGTTCAGAAAGGGCAGTGTGTATCAGGTGTTTGCTGCATGCTAGACATGGTTTGTGACCATTTAGGCAAGCTTTACTCCACGCATTCTTCTATGAATATTGCTGATGCCATTGCGAACTTCACGGCTAAATACAACAGTATCATTCAACAGTTGCGGTCTGAGTTTGAGCTACCTGAACTTTCACATGACGAACTCTTTAAGCTAGTCCAAAAGAAATCCCCGGAAAAAGCTTCAGGGCTGGACGGATGGACTATGAAGCAACTGCATGCCTTACCCCCGTGCGCATGGAAAGCAATTAGGTTGGTTTATCTCGTTGCTGAGTTGCATGGCGTCTGGCCTGCTGCCTTCAAACTTGTTGCAGTCACCTGTATCCCCAAGGATGAAGGACCTCCTACTCCACAGAATATGAGAGGTATCGGGTTGTGCTCATTGGTGTATAACGTTTGGTCTAGTATTCGGTTTAGGCATTGTACACCTTGGATGTTGCAAGTGTGCCCTAAAGAGTTATACGGTGGTATTGCGACCCGAAATCTAGACCCTTCCGAGCATCAACTTTCGCTGGACAAGGACCAGGCGGTTGTAGAAGATTCTTGTTTAATCGCAGTATTCCTCGACCGCTGGAAAGCCTTTGACATGATAATACCTGAGATTGCGTTATCGGTTATCACCCAACTTGGAATGGACCCTCGCCTCGCGAAGGCAGTTTTAGGGTTTTACCACAATCAGAAGAAAGTCTTCCGCATCGGAAAGTGTTACAGCTCACAGGTTTCCACAGCTAATGGTGCCATTCAAGGCTGCGCCATGTCCCTTTTGATGACAAATGCTATGTACTCAGTGTGGGCAGTCCTGGCAAAACAAGTTTCGCCACATGTTTCTTTAGCTACGTTTATTGACGATGCTAAATTCTGGGCCAGAGAGAAAGATGTGGCGGAACTTGGGTTGCTTTTTCAGAAATCTATGGAGTTTGATAAGGACATTGGACAGTACATCAACGAAGGTAAATCGACAGTTGTAGCCCCTTCCAAAAGCAAAGGCAAGCGCGCGGCCAATGTCATTTCCTCCAGGCTCAAAGTGAAAACATCGGTTCGGTCTCTAGGAATGTGGCACAACTTTTCAAAGAAAAGTGGGTCTAGTCTCCTGAAAAGCCGCATTTCTAAAGCCTTGCTTTCTCTTAAAAGAATCAGACAACTTCCTTTTACTGTTACCCAAAAGTTCCGGTATGTTCATGCTCATGTGCACTCCAAATGGGTGTTTGGTACCGAGATTCAACCACCCACCTTCCAACAGCTTAGGGATATTCGTAATGGGCTGCCAGGCGTCGCTTGGGGCAGCTCTAGACGAGTACGTTCCCACTTTTGTTCCCTCCCTTTAGCTTTCGACGTGAAGTTAGACCCCTTGTTTGCGTGGGCTAAACATGTTTGTTTCAAGCTTAGGTCTATGGGTAAAGCAAACCCTACACTCCTACTTCAAGCTTTAGGGTTGGCAGCAAAATGCAATCAAGAACAGCTGAAAACGCGCAATGGCTTGCCAGTCACAATCGCCATTTTGTTTGACGTTTTGCAATGGCATATCGATGGTGAAGATTCCCGCTTGATTAACACTGCGAGTGGCTTGTCTTTTGACATTCTGCACGGAAGTGACGGGTGGTTCGAAAGGACCCTCGCTGAAGCCGTCGCGAACGCCTTGCTACGTAGCGAGCATGATCGGCAAGACTTCGAAGGACACCAAAATCACGGAGAACTTGATCTTGAAGCTACGCAGATGCTTCTGAATTCAACGTTAGCGTCGGACGACACCAGAGGGATCATGGCGTCGTACTTCGCTTTCAACAGAGATTTTTCACATTACCACAAACAGATGATACGAGCATTGCTGTCTGGTGGCCTTTATCTGGCTCCCAGATTGTTCAAAGCTGGTTTTACCCCTTCTGACAATTGTCCGTTTTGCGACTCGCAAGAATCTTACGAGCATGTGGTCTATTGCTGTGACGCGTACAACGATGAGCGCAGGTTGGTGGACGAACATCTTGAAAGAGAACCCCGCACGTCGTTGTTCACCGGAGTGGCATTTAAAGGTGCAGCTCGGACCAGCCTTGAAACATCAAGAACGGGTCGAATCTTTCGGCCGCGAATCACCAATAAGTGTTCTTGCGACAGAGTTTTCACAGACGGTGCTTGTTCTGTGGGAGTTTTGAACTCTGCCGGTAGTGGTATATTTGCAGAGGGCAAATTGAATGTTTCGGTCCCTCTGGTTATGACCACACAGCACCTCGCGCAGAGCTTTGGGCGGTGATTCACGCCGTAGAGGCCACTGTAGGCAATGTTGAGATCGCTTCTGATTGTTTGTATGTCATCAATACTGCTACTTACCTGCTTCGGCATGGCCGTGAGGGGCTGCGACACTTGGACAACTTTGATCTCTGGTCCATTTTTTGTGAGGTTTGCGAAACGCATCAAGGTCATATTACCTTCCGCAAAGTCAAAGGTCATGCTAAATGGAAGGATGTTGTACATGATGCGTTCTTGCAACTTTGCAAAGAAGGCAATGACAATGCCGATAAGCTTGCATGCAATGCGGCACGTTGTGTGCTTCACCAACAAGCCAATGCGGAACACAAGCTCATCAGTAGCACCGCCATGTCCATTCAACTGTATTGGGTTCTTGTTCTTTGTAAGCGTAATGCTTTTAGTGACTTTCAAGACCCTGATTGGATGTCCAGTGCTATCGACAAGGAGTTACCAGCAGGCGTGGTCAAACGCTGTTCGTGCAAATGCCTGCCGCAGACTCGAATCCGTGGCAAGGTTTGCATTTGCCAAGGATGCAAAACGAGTAGCGTCACATATGGCTCGGAAGAGAATGCGTTCTATGAATGTATCTCTAAGAATGTTCGTATTCCTGACGCTCTTCGAGCAAAAGTTGCTACTCGGTACGCGTCGTACCAAGCCAAGTTGTGTCAGCAATGGCATTTTTCCAGCATCCCCCTAAACTCGTACTCTTCCTTAATCAAGGGACCCAGAAAGATTACCCCCTTTGCCGCGCAAGCCCTCGTAGAATACTTTAATGAACCGGTTTGGTACCGCAC